AGAACCGCTACCCAGGGCCAACCGCCCTCAGCAAGAGCCAAACCCTGACAGCAAGCGATCCCAGAAGCGCAAGCAGGTGGCAGATGCACGCAGACAGGAACTCCCCGAAGAGCTGCGCGAGGCCTTCGATGACCTGCCATCTCAGGAGCCACAGCCAGAAGGCCCCAAGGTCGCGTTCAAGTTGGAGCAGGAAGAATGGCTCAAGAACTATGGCGAATTGGAGCAGGATGCCTTCATACCACGAACAGCGGCAGCACAGTTGTCGACAGGCCCCCTGTCGACCTGGAGGCCCACTCAACGCTCTACCTTGGATAATCGATATGGACGATGGGCCACTACCTTGGAGCGGTCTATTGTTGCGGTCAGCGATGTGGAGGACCCCGTTGTGTTTTTCGGCAGAGGGCAAGGGTATTCAATTTCATGGAGGAAGATGCGCCCTGCCCCAGGTCGACCTCACATGTGCGACCCTGTAGCAGAATGGTGGGGGATCGCCTCCACACTGCTTGCTCGAGGTGCGGCCTTGACACGCTCAGGCAGGGACCCTCCAGAGGCGGAGAAGTGCCTCGAGGGCTTTCGGTCCATGGTCCAGGGCCTGACAGACGCCAAGCAGCAGGAATTCTTCGGGAAAAAGGCCTTGACCACCACAGTGCAAGAGTGGAAGGACGCTGCCCTGCAGGCGCCGCACCTCAGCCAGACTGAGTTGGAGCAGCTCCAGGTGCACACCAACACGTGGGTCGACCGCGCCCAGGGGCGCTCTTTAGTCAAGTCTCGCCAAGCCTTCATGGACTGGGCGAAGCAGATGTGGGCTAAGAGGCCAGGTGCTATTCATCGTCACGTTCGTGCTCCTCCCCCTGACCCACTTCCTCGTGAGATCATCAGAGATGGCGTGGACACCGCCGACCCTTGCGTACTCATTCGCACGAAGAAGGACTTTTGGCAGGCAGTGTGGCAGGAGGATAATGACAGCAGAGAGCACTTGCTATGGACGTTGGAGGGATTGGCCAGGGATGCTCGTGATGACCCCTTGCCACCACTGAATGAAGGACAGATTGAATCGATACTTAGACGACAATCGCCAAACAAAGCTAGAGGAGTCGATGGCTTGGGCCCAGTTGACCTTCAACGCATGCCTCAAGCTGGACTGTCGGAGCTCACGTGTATCCTCAATCAAGCGGAGCTACTGCAAACTTGGCCGACAGCGTGGTTAGCTACTATTTGTGCAGTTATTCCGAAGCCAGCTGGAGGCACGAGAGTACTGGGCATGTTGCCGCAATGCTGCAAGACGTGGAGCCAGGCGCGCAGTTCGGTCACCTCCAGTTGGTCAGATGGACTTTCTGCTTTCTGGGACACGGCCATCAGAGGCAGCAGCGCCCTGAGAGCTGCGATGACGAGAAGCCTCATGGATGAGGCCTCTGCTACCACAGGCAAGGCAACGGCGACGGTTCTGCTGGACATTGCCAAATTTTATGACTCTATCTCCTTCACCCTCCTGGTGGTTGCGGCGCGGGGGCTCAACTTCCCTCCCACGGTGCTGCTCATGGAGATCCTGCTCTTCATGGCGCCGCGCATCCTCAAGGAGGGCTCGGTCATCAGCGAGCCGTTCTGCCCAGGCCGCTCGATTGTGGCTGGATCGTCGCATGGAGTCTGCCTTGGAAAAGTGTTCTTGCATTCTGTGCTGGAGGCTGCGCACATTAGAGCCCCTCAGGCCTCGTTATGGACCTTCGTCGATGACACTGTGGCAAGATCCGAGGGCACCCAGGCCACTGTCGTTTCTGAGATGGAAGGTTTAGCTGAAGCTTTCTCGGAGGGATTCAGACTCAAAAGGCTCACTGTCTCGGACAAAACGGTTGTCTTGGCGTCCTCTCCTGAGCTAGGGAAGCACATTGCCAGAATTTTCAGAGCCCGAGGGATGCCCGCTAGGTTTGCTTCTGTTGGAGTTGATTTAGGTGTAGACACTGCGGCAGGTCGCTTTCGGACACGGAAGAAGGCACGCCAGAGAATGGCTAAAGCCAGCGGGCGTTTTTCTAGGATTGTGAAGATGCGCAGGCTGGCTGGTTTGAGGAAAGTCACCCAGGGCGCTTGGCGCACGGGAGCCTTACCACAGGCCAGCTTTGGCCATCAAGTTTATGGTATGCCACCGAGTCAGGTCCTGCTTCTTAGGCGACAAGCTGCTCGCACGGTCTCGGGAATGGGCAAGGGCAAATGTTTAACAACTGTTCTGCAGACTGTGCTGGGGGATGGAGATCCCGCCCTGGAACTGCGCCGCCAATTGGTGGACGCCTGGCTGCAGCTGTGGAAGCGCTTCCCCGCCCTCCAGCCTCGCATTCGACGGTCGTGGGGTATCGTTCGGTCGCAGCTCGATTCGCTTGGCGCCAAAAGGTGGAGAGGCATTCGGGGGCCCATAGCTGCAGTCCAGGCCACCCTTCTTGAAGCAGGATGGGAGCCCAGGGAACCTGACCTGTGGGAACGACCCGATCATGCGGAGCATGCGTGGAGGTTCCCACGAATGGGCGACCCAGACTATGATTTACTCCCGGTTTCTGACCATGCAGACTTGTTGCATGAGTTCGTTTCTGATATGAAGGCTAAGTTGTGGCAAGGTGCTGCAGGGCACGAGGCTGGCGACAGTTTGAAAGAAGGAGCCGATCTCCTCCCACTGCAGCAGGAACTCCGCCGCTTCGAGTCTCGGGGTCAGTCGGATCTGTGGGGCCTCACCTTGTGCGTGGCCTCGGGGGGCCAATGGCCACGTCAGCGCCAAGCCGACAGTGGCTACACGGTTGACGTAACTTGTCCAAGGTGCAAGGCGGCCCCTGAGACCTTGTTTCACAGAATATGGCAATGCGTGTGTAATGTAGATCACCAAGATTTTAGCAGCACGCAATCCCTGATTTCCCAAGCCACGGCGCAATGGGAAACAGACCCTTCTTTATGGCTGAGAGGAGTCCCGTCGAGAGACCTCACCTGCCCCGTCTTCCTTGACCCTCTTGAGGCCCCTCCTCTTACGTACTACGGCTCCTCTCGCCTCAGTGAGTTTTGTGTAGCCCCTGGCCAGGACCCTCCCCACATTTTTGGAGATGGGTCTGGGGGGAAATACAGCAGTGACCCGAGACGCAGGCGCTGCGGCTCTGGAGTTGCCCTCATTCGTCGGGCTGAGGATGGCTCCTGGGAGCC